AGGTTTTTTGACGCGTTTCTTCCTTTAGAATGTAATCAGGCTGAGCTTTGTTGATGTTGCCACGTTTAAACATGCGCATGAAACGAGAGACGCTGATAGTTTAAAAAGTTTTGAAAGAGTGCTTTTCAAAGAATATTTTTTTCAGTCATGCCAAATTCAGCTGTATTCTTTTTATTTTTTCTCTCCATCAACTTTGTCCCTGACTATCCCACAATGTGACAAAAAATCTCCCTAGAATGGTGATATATAGGATTTTTTCCAATTTGTCATACTATTTTTCTAAATACTGTTTGTTGATATATAAAATTATACAAAATTATATATCGTTATATCAGGAAAAGCAATGTCAAAGTAGAATTTTTTTCGTGTGACGCGTTTTGTAGTTTAAGACGTCATCTGACTATTAAAAAAATAAATTTACAAGTATCCCCACACCTTAGAGCGTACACTAAGTAAACATTAGCTTAAATATTATTTCAGTCTGATGACGTCGTAAATAACGAAACTAACAAGACGAAAGATTTTTTTCCATTTTGTCATTGATTTTGTTAACATTGTTCTGGTCTATTGAAAGTTTGTGGCAGGCTTTGGTTGATTAAAGCAGGAAAAATGTCATATGCAAAGTCATCATGGCGGACAATCTATCAATTACAAAATGATATTAAATATTAAGGATTCATGTCACTTCTGCAGAATGTTTTGCACGGTAGCTAATGGACTGAAAAGTCATTTAAACACAAAAAACTAATCCGTCCTAATGACAAAAAAAAAATGTATGTTTGTGAGCTATGTAGACGAAATTGATCATCTCAAAACCGCATTCGAAAAAAAAACAAACTGTCTTTCACCTTACCTATGAACTTAGTAAAAAAAAAAAACAAAAAAAAACAAAAAAAACAAAAAACAAAAAAAAAACTCTCATTCTTAAATGTTCTCGTAGACTATAGTCATATCAGTTGAAAGCATTCCTTGGTCTTACAATGATATCTTCTGAATGTCAAACACGGTAAAAATGTGTCAGACATCTCTATGACACATACTCGCACACGCAGACGCACGCGTACACACACACACATACGCATCAACCAAACCAAGGTATTTTAGTATCCCTCGCCATTGAAAAATTATTTACAAACGTCTTCGTCGATCAAAATAAGTGTATCCGTGTAAAAAATAATTCCGTTCCACCTTCATCTATCAAACCAAATATCCTCAAAAAATTATCGCATACTAAAGTCCCTTCTACGACCATAATGGCAATATGTATGCCAAAACTAATGTTGTTAGTATGGGAAATCCTCTTGTCCCCTGCTTCTCCAATTACTACATGTCCCACGTAAAAAAAAAAAAAACACGATATTTAAACAAGTTGCTAAACCCAAAACATGTTCGCTATGTAGACGATTTTTTTTAATTTTAGCAAAAAACAAACAATCTCGAAATCACATTCTAAAAATATCTGTCCTTAACTTTACCTCGGAACTTAGTCAAAAAAATAAACTCGTATTCTTAGACGTTCTCGTAAAATTCAATAACACATTCACCATTATAAAAAAAATCACTAGCGGAAACTCTTGGCACATTAATTTTAACGGTGAATGCTCACTTAGATATAAAATAGCATTTATATAAAATTTCCTAAAGAGAGCACACGAGAATTCATCCTCCCGTCCTTTTTTTTTCTTAAATAACACAATAATACAAAACAGACGCTATTTAATAATGGTTTTCTTAATTCATCGACCATCAGATAAGGATATTTCTTTCTAAAGTAACTAATAGCGATACTGAACATACAAATTAGAACAATGGCATTATCATCTTCTACAAAAGCTATGTTAATTATAAGCAAGACAAATTTTCTTTTAGAAATATCATAAAGCAATACACAACCACAGTCGACCTGAACAAGAAAATTAAATTAATTATTTATTACAATTTTTTAAAAAAGCAGCTAAACTTATCAAAAATAACAACAAAGGCGCGAAATCAAAACTACAAAGAGCCGACATTGTTTACGAGTTCAAATTCCCCTTAAGAAACTGTGATCCGGATCAAACCAAACTCATAAATAATTACATTGGTTATACTACTACATACCTATCAAGACGACTTACGTTACACCAACCCGGTCATAGGTTCATTAGGATCCATTATAACGCACACAAAAACTTACCAAACTCCATACGAAACATACTAGTAGAAAATACAAGTATAATATCGTCATCTACATGTAAAAAATATTAAAAATAATGGAAGCACTAATAATAAAAATGAGAAGCAAACACTCAATAAAATTAACTATGAATATCACTACAATGTTCTGACCGTGTTGGGAGAATAAATCATTTCTATATCTTTAGACACATACATAAAAAATACACATTTATTTAGAAATTAAACTCGTCCTTATAATGGCTAAAAGAATAGCTGAAAGCACCGGGATATGCAGAAATTTGGGGCAGTTTTTACACACTGTGTGTCCAGAAAAGAAAACACTTTTTATTTAAAAGCTTTTTATTTAATTTTTATTGTGTTCGTACGAACACAATAAAAGTTAATTAAACAGCTTAATCACAGTACCTTATCAGCCGTCTTTAATGAAGCATGTATAAATGAAGGGTTGCTGCTTAATTACAGAATATATTGGGTGCAAATTGTCGCCATTTTACATTTTTAATTTCGCGCATGCAGGTTTGTTTGTTTTTTTTATTTTGTCCACTGTATGCTTCGTATGAGACAATCCTGCACGGGATTTGCAGAGAAGTCCACACGAGGGAGATGCTGAAGGGTTGACCGTCACATGGGCTGATGTATTAGCCAGAGATTTAGTGTTGCAACTTAATTCTCTTAGACGGTTGAAACGATTTTTTTCAAAGTTAATTATACCTTGGTGGCAGGTGTTTCGCCAGTTCGGATGCCGAAAATCCTCCACTTGAGATCGGCATCCGATCATAATTCTGATTCCCTGACCTGCCCATTTGAACTATACTTGCATCAGAAAGGGTATATATATATATATATATATATATATATATATATATATATATATTTAATAGCTCTGTTATATTACATCGAGCACTATTTTATTAACACCAGCACTCAATGTGCCCTATCTTTGAGACGCCTGTTCAGGCGCATTTGTGTTTGTTCAACGACCAGAGAGCACACCAATTTTCATACTACAAATATACTGACCGGATCTTAGTTACAGTCTCTGAAGGAGAGTTCATTATCTGTCGTAATCATTAGTTTGAACAAGGATGTCTATCCAATTTCACTCGCAAGAATTGGGTCAATCAGTGGTATGGCTTTCACACATTTTCCATCCTGGAATAGACTTCTTCGGATCGATAGGAAGTGTCCTTCCTGACAAATCGACCATGGTGTGATTCGAACGCAGTTCCCATGGTCGTATATATATATATATATATATATATATATATATATATATATATATATATATATTGTCCAATTACAGTTTAATTACAATTGATTTCATAGTAGAAGCACATACTTTAGACAAAATATCCCAAGATTCTAAATCTATATTGAACATTATCAAAACCGTTGAATATCTCCATTGATATCTCCATTATATATATATATATATATATATATATATATATATATATATATATATATATATAAATTACGCTCATATAAATTGCACAAAAAAATGAAAAATAGTTTTTCATTGTCGCTATAAAGCAGAATCACACAAAACAGATCAATTACAACACGGAAACACCTAAACACAAACAAACACACATATATATATATATATATATATATATATATATATATATATGTGTGTGTGTGTGTGTGTGTATACATATATATATATATATATATATATATATAAAGAAATATAGTACTAAGATGTGCTATATTTATGGGATAAAGTGCTCAGTATCAGCGACAGAGCGTATGTAAATATAAATATAAAAGTGAACATTGAAGTCAACACTCAGAGGTGACAGGTTGTTTCATGCTAGACGCAATTGTCACTTCGCCTCATATATATATATATATATATAATTTTTACAATGACGTCTTGTGTTATTTACTTAAGTAGTGCACGTGTAGTGTACTGAAATCTTTAACATGCCAGTCGTATATTAAAATAAATCCCCATATATATATATATATATATATATATATATATAATGTGTAGTGTAGAAAAGAGATGCACGCAACGTATTTTTATGTGTTTTCTCAACATTGAATTACTGCACAGAATGTGTAGGTTTTCAAATCTTTACTTTGAAAAGAATTATACATTTTTAAAAAAATTAATAATTTCCTCGTAGAATATATATTTTCTGGCATAATAATAATAATAATATATATATATATATATATATATATATATATATATATATATATATATATATATGACAAAGTGGAAAATGTTGATGTCCTTAGGATTTCATCGGGCTAAACAAACTAGTCCGATGATGTCTTTAGTGACGAAACGCGTCACACCAATACCTTTCCACTTTGTCATTTATCTTTCTTCTGAAATATTTCATGATATCTAAAACTTTATATATCGTTATCTAATATATATATATATATATGTGTGCGTGTGTGTGTGTGTGTGTGTAAAATAAACGAGTAATATCTAAAGATTATAATTAAAGTATCAGCTTAACATATATAATAAACCAAGGCTCAATGCGAAAGTCTACAAAGCGTAAATAGAATAATATTGTGTGTGCGCGTGTGTCTTTATAATATAATTTACTCAAAAATAAAAATCCACAAAACGTCATTTTCGTTATAAAACGGAATTGAGGAAAACTACCAATTAAAACACGCACACTTATAAATAGATACCCACACGCACTCTAATATATATATATATATATATATATATATATATATATGTGTGTGTGTTGTAAGTGAGTTATTTGAAGTAATTCTCATTTATGATGTTATATGGATTGTCATATTTGAGTAAAACTTCCATGAAGAGACAAAGAAATTGACACGTGATGCGCGTACTATAACAAAGCATATTGTTTATATATAAAGTGTATGCATATATATATATATATATATATATATATATATATATATATATAGTCTGTGTATTGTATATATAAATGTATATATATATATATATATATATATATATATATATATATATATATATATATATATATATATATATATATATTACAATGAATCCTTCATACAAAAGCAGATTAGTAAAGTTAATGATATAAAAATAGCGAAATCCCTTCGCTAACAAAATTTTATATCATTACTAATCTACTTTTTGTATGAATGATTCATTGTAAAATCAACTGAACTGCACCACATATTTGAAATATATATATATATATATATATATATATATATATTCCGTAAGAATGCAACCTTCATCCCTTTTTTATCTCAGGTAAATGGCTTCTTAACTCGAAATGTACTTCAACAGTTTCGACGTGGAGCCAGACTGAGATGAGACAGAATAATCTGATAAGGAAGACATTTTTTTTCGCGCTTAGACTTCTACAATTTATTTCTGCTAAATAAGGTTTATAGTAACACGAAATGATGTCGGATAAAAGAACCTTTGAATATTCTCAAACAGTAGTTCGAAGCACTAATACATATTGGAAGCTGAAGGCCCCCATTTTGAGCATGTCTGGTGACTCTAGATTCCAAATTTAACTTGTATTGATCTCGCGATAAATTTAGTATTAGAATATCTATACAAGCTTTTCCTTTCCTGAAGTGTGTAGGCTTTATTTTGCGGACTGTGTATATTCAGGTATGTGTCTATTCGATATTGCTTAATTGAAATATATTTTCATATCCTCGTCTATGTATATACTACTACTACTACTATTACTACTACTACTACTAATAATAATAATAATAATACAAATTTGAAAAAGCGGGAAATTTACGAGATTTTAACGTATTATTCAGGCAAACGTTCTTTACTTTTTTGTATTAAATAAACAAAAATTCAGATTCTTAAAATATTTCTATCTATCTATCTATCTATCTATCTATCTATCTATCTATCTATCTATCTATCTCGACCTCATCATATCTATGCATTTGTCTATCTATCTATCTATCTATCTATCTATCTCAGTGTATTCACATCTGTCTGTCTAGCTCATCATATCTATCTATCTATCTATCTATCTATCTATCTATCTATCTATCTATCATCATCACCACCCATACCATCTATCTATCTATCTATCTATCTATCTATCTATCTATCTCAGTGTATTCACATCTGTCTGTCTAGCTCATCATATCTATCTATCTATCTATCTATCTATCTATCTATCTATCGACCACATCATACCTATCTATCTATCTATCTATCTATCTATCTATCTATCTATCTATCTATCTATCTGTGTGTTGTGTGCGTAAATGTTTAAAATGTGCTATATTTATGCCAGCAAAATCTTCAATATCAGAGAGATCTATATATATATATATATATATATATATATATATATATATATAAAGGTGACTGCCATTTTACACCTCCAAACCGATCCTTAGAGCAAGCAACATTAATTTCTTTGGCCACACCTCATCTTTTTTTCTTACTTCCCCGAACACCCCCATATATATATATATATATATATATATACAGTGCTATGCAAAAGTAAGTGAACCCCTAAGATAATATTTAAAATAATTGTCTATTTTTCTAGATAATCAGCAAATCTTAGTTAAACTACAAGAATATTAAGAAAAGCCTTACGTTTGCAATCTGTATTTTTGTTTTACATGATTGTCAGTGCTAATAGTATTTTGTACACATGTAAAAATCAAAATGACATGTGTTTTTTTTGCTAAGCTGTGTATACTGCAGTCAAACAATACAACTCATTATGTAAGCAAAAGTGTGCAATTAGAGACGAAATTTATATATATATATATATATATATATATATATATATATATATATGCAAAGATCAAAAGAACTTATTGAAGCTTTAAAAAATCGCATAGTTGAAATCTATAATGATGGAGAAGGCTACAAAAATCTATCAAAACGATTTGGAGTGCACTTCTCCACCGTGCAACAAATTATTTATAAATTGAAGGCCTTTGGTATGACGGGATCAAAATCAAGAAGTGGGCGTCCGCGAAAAATAACAGTAAGTGCATGTAGACAAGTAGGTATCTAGTTCGGCAAGCCTAGGTAAATTCTGCTGTGATCTTTGTGGTTCTCCAGTGCTCACAGGCTAATGTCAGAATAAATGTGCATACATCTAAATTGCGACGAAACTGAACAATGCCGATCTTCATGGGAGAATGCCTAGAAAAACCACTACTTAAGAAATAGCACAATCATGTGATCACAACCCAAATTTATAATATTGTTGTTAATGTTTATTAACCCGAGGTACTTAACTGTGGACAAAATGATATAACTAATTTTTTTGGATATTAATTTTCTTTAAAAAAATAGATAAATAAATAAAAATTATTTTATGAATGCTAAAAAGAAAAAAAAATCTTTCTAAATACTAAAATATTTGTTTCATATAAATATTGACTTTACTAATATTTTGAAAGAAGATTCCATAATATACCCCAAAATGAGGGGGTGTTGCAGTTTTTTTTTGTGTATATGTATGTTTACTAGTAAGCTAACCCAAATGACTTGACTCACTATATAGTCCACCAATAGAAGGTTAACCAATCAGAAGACGTAGAATATTCAATCCGTCGTGTATAAAGGCGGCTATTTTGTTTACTCTATCCGAATGTCCAATTCCAGCTTGTCAGGCGAAGAGGAACAGAAGGAAGTACTACGCTCTGCTACTTTACCGGGATATCTACTGCTAACCTGAACAACGCTTTCCTACTGTCTTCGAAATATTCACTGCTAACCTCTGGATTCTATACTCAAAGACGACCGTCATCATGAACAACACACCTCAACTATGCCAAAGATCATATAACTAAGCTAGAAACATTCTGGGAAAAGGTATTATGGTCGGATGAAAACAAACTAGAGCTTTTGGAGAGGAACAATAGGTGGTATACCTGGCGCGTTACTAATACGGCTTTTGAACAGAAGAATTTTTTACCAATCATTAAACATGGCTGTAATAACATTATGATCTGTGGGTGCTTTGCTGCAGCTGGAACAGGCTAAATATGATGCATTGACGGCAAAATTAACCCTGCAAGATACCAAGCCATTTTGAACAAAAGTGTCTTGTCCTCAGTTCAAAAGTCGAGTTTAGCTCGGGGCTGGAACTTTCAAAAGGACAATGATCTGAAGCATCAAAACAAATCCACAAAAGAATGAGATAGTAAAAAGTAATTTCAAGTCTTGGAACGTCCTAGTAAAAGTAGTGATCTAAACCCAATTGAAAACCAGTGATTCAAGTGAAAGAAGACAATGTATGCAAGAAAAAAAGGTAAAATCAAGCAACTGTTGATGTCTTGTCAAGGATAATCGTCAAACATGGGCACTCACTACTGCCAGAAAATTCTTTAAAATTATAGCAAAAGACTGGTTGACATAGAAACCTCAAAAGGAGCAGTCACCAAATATTGAATGTCAGGGTTCATTTTGCGCGTCTTAATTTTGAATTTTTAATTAATATTTTTATTTCAGCTTGATAATTTTTAAAAAGTGGTTGTAATTGATTTAATAAAGGTATTTTCTTTATGGATAAACCCTTTGAGCCTTGCGTTCCGGAAAAAATTTAACCCTGAGCTCCTGAGTCAAAATTCGCAAATAATTGTGATACAATGTTTCACGGTATATATAAAAATAGCTACAAGAGTTTACCCACCGTTCAACCGATGGCTGGGCATTTTTCTCTACCATCGTTCAAGCGGTTGCTGGGTATTATGTCATTTTTCTCTACCGCCGGTAAAACGGTGGTCAGAGATCAAAAGGTCAATTAAAATTTGTTTATCATCTGGAAAAAAGGACATTATTTTTTAAAAATATTATCTTAGAGGTTCACTTACTGTTGCACATTGGGGTATATGAAATTCTTTACTTTTTCATATTATTTAAAGGAAGCTTCAGATCCTTGAAATATTCTTTATAAAATGCATTAAAGAAAGAAGCAAATTCGATTTTGTTCCAATTTTGAAAACTGATATTTTCTTTATGAAGACTTTCGAACTCTAGTTGGTGAACATTATTGTTACTGTTAAAACACAGCAAAAAAAATAAGAATACCTCCTCAAAACCGGAACCTAATAAATATGAAGTTTAACGTAATAAGAAATAGTGAGAAAATTCAAATACATTAAAGCTTATATATATATATATATATATATATATATATATATATATATATATATATATATATATATATTATTAATAAAATTCAAAAATCCCCATCTGAAAGGCCATTTCGCTCTGCAAGAGCGTGTCAACACTATAAAGGTAGTTATTTTTATCTGTTTAGTGTTGACAAGCTCTTTGTTTGGTGTGAAATGACTATTCAGATGGGGTATTTTTGAATTTCATTTCTTTTTAATTTATATATAGACTTTGTAATCAGTATATTCAGCTCTATTTGGTGATCAATTTTAATATTTTATATTATTAGGATTCACTCGGATTACTTACCAACGGATTTTAACTATATATATATATTCTTTCATCTTTTTACGCTAATATTATTATTATTACTATTAATATTTTATAAAAATACCAGTGTCAAAATCGTGAATTAGACATTAGACAGAAAATCTATTCAATTGCACACAGAAGCTTGCTGGTTTCAAGCCGTATCTCTACTTCCCTTTCTTTCTCTTAACTTTCCTTCTTTTCCTTCCATTGGAAATGAGAACGAATCGAATATAAATTCAAACGTTCGTAACATTATTTTAAAAAAAGGGATCAATACAATAGTAGATCAATATTCTAAAATAAAAATGATATCCTAATATATATATATATATATATATATATATATATATATATATATATATATATATATAACAGAGAAAGAACCTATGGAGTAAAAATCCACAGTCCGTGGCATTTATTAGGCGATGGTAGATGACTAATGACAAAAGTTAATTCTGACCTTACGACTCCCATCGTTAACTAGAGATTCTCGTTCCGAAACTGAATACAGTCTAACATTTGAATTGAATAAGGTTAACGCAGACAACGTTAGTTGAAATAGTCTATACTCATGAGGTAATTTTGTGTTTCTCTATTATGTAATTTGTATGCTCTGTTATAATAAATACATTGAGCTCTTTTTGGGGATCAGTTTTAATATTTATATTTTTATATTATTAGGGCACACCAGGATTAGATACTAACGGATTTATTACCTGTACTATATATATATATATATATATATATATATATATATATATATATATATATATATATATAAATACAGTATGGTAACCTGTATGGAATTTTCAGGAGGATATAGATCCAGGGCGAGCTTTTATGTCAAGAGATAGAGCAAAATTACCATTAATTAAATATCAAACTTTTAAGTATTTGATATTGTTTAATTAATAATAATAATAATACATACACACACACACACATATATATATATATACTTTATTTCTTATACCAAATAGTATATATATATATATATATATATATATATATATATATATATATATATATATATATATAAGAAAAAAACAGTATATATATATATATATATATATATATATATTGATAATATTAGTAGTCACTACATATAAATATATATATATATATACATATATATATATATATATATATATATATATATATATATATATATATATATATATATACTATATGGCCTGGCGTTGCCCGTGCTTGATTAAAAATCTTTGACTCATACAGCAATCGCTATCACTTGACATAAAATATTTTTTGCCCTTCCTTGCCTTGAAAGAAGTGCCTCTTTGCCGTTCTGATGTTGCGACATGCCTTACTTCTCATACTGCGAAATTTTTCTAAGCTCTATACTAAACATTAAATCTGTTACGAAAAAAGAACTAAACAAAATGAACACAAAACGATCAGCTTTAAAAAAGAACTCGTAACTGGAAAAACCGAATGAAAAAAGAATGTTAACAACAAATACTTTTTCACACCCAAACTCAGTTCTGCGGAATCAGAATCAACGTTGAGTTTAACCAAGCGAATGAGCCAATTGGAGTAAAGTGCCATGCAAATTTAAATTTTTCCCACTTGTGACGAATGCAGCTATCGACTTTTTTGCATGGTAGCATGCTAGTTAACATTCGTGTCAGTCAGCTGTTACCTCTCACACTGGCCAATAGAATCTTCCTGCCTATTCGTGGCAGCCAGCTATTGGCTCTCACTCTCTCCAGTACAAAATGGCCGCAAACTATATGAAAACCGCCGTAGAAGCATGAAAAAATCGATTATTTCCACTATCG